CGTCAGATCGAAAGTTTACCTCGTTAAAGCTGATCAAAAGATACATGCCGTAACCGTCAGCTATGTCTTAGTGTACTATTTAAAGAGTATATTCATTATCATGAACGTGGGCTTTTAAAGCAAGAAAGAAGAGCACTGCTTTAAAGCTGTGCCCTCACTCCAAAGCAAGAAAATGAAAGACCAGGAAACTAGACTTGGCAACAGCAGGCAAATGAAAAAAAGGTCTGGCTGAGAACCAATTAAAGGGACTACGTTCAAATGCTTGACGCAGCGTACCTTTGCAGTCAATTTATTCCAGGCTGCTCTGTCCGCCAAGGTTATGTGCTTTGCCAAATAGGTTTCGACACAGTAAATCCTATAATTCGACCGGGTTAAATCCTGTACCGCCAAGTTGAGTGGAAGGATTTGAAGATTTGCTGCTGCCTATGAATCACGTACACTTTTTTTTCTATCGGGCTGATACTTTCAGACTTTCGTGAAAGTTGTAGGGCCAATAATCGAAATGTTTGAAAAGTGGCTCTTATGGATAGTGGGCATTGATGAAGCACTTTACTACCGTATTCCGAATATTTTGAAAGCTATGTCGAGGAATTAGTAAGAACAATTTAAGAATTGATCGAAGATTCTCTTATAATTTCGATCGATGTACTTGAATTTTGACCCATTTAAAAGCTTAGGACATGATAAAATGGTAACAATGGACATGGTAAAAATGTGCCCTTATTATGTGATATGCATTATAAGAAACATTTAGCTTGAGCATCATCTTCATCATTTTATTGTAACTCAACACGTATTCGTTCACACCAAGGTGTACTAATGAGAATGGTATCCAGACTATAAAATATACACATCAGCACCCTTGTTTTTACGTTGGCCATTGCCCCATTGACCCATGGACTAACAAGTGCTGTATAAAATTCTGACTTTAAAGACCACCAGTGCGTACAATTTAGTATACTTAAGGAGCTCGACACTACTACAAGTAACAGCCCAGACTAATTAGTAGAACTGGGTCACTGGAGTGATACTAGACTGGGGAATCGATACGTGGTAAACGAAAGTAAGTCGCTGTCTGTTTCGAACGCTGAAGTTTTAAGTGGCACTGATTTGAGATATCACAGGAAACACAGCAGTTTGGATTCAGTGGCATTCTGAACCTTCCCCAGACCACCAACTAACCAAAGTTGGCTGAAGTCTGGGAGCAGTCTGAAAAGATGTAGGCCATGCCTACCTCTATATACGCCTCTAACCGAATTTCCGTTAAATTTGAGTCAAATTGTACTCCCGAGCAAGCAACGACCATTGCTGACTTACTCCCAACCACCAGCCAACCATTGCCAAACCTTCCGTCCACACACGAATTTTTTTTTACATATTGAAACATTTGGCTGGCGCAGCCGAACAGTGGTCGACCTCGACCGCCAAACACCAGCCAACCACTGTCGACCTTGCTCCCGACCTACTCCCAACCATGCTTGGGGGGAGTTCGGCAGTGTTTGTGAGGCCACATTAGGCTGTTTGTGACAGGGGCTTAAGCTTAGAGTGGGCTTTGTTTTCACATTGATCGTTATCCTGAACATGCTCTTGGCCCTGTGCATCATCAGTGATGCTCAGTGCAGCCTCCAAGTCCCGCATCTACTC